GACAGACAGACAGACAGACAGATATATAGATATATAATGATAACTAGACAGATGTGTATATATACTTTGGCCCCGAATGCACCTACATCGGAACTGTTTTTAGCCGAACGTCCCTTAAACCCCAAACCCGAAACCCTTCTAGTACCCTGCAAGGAACCCCCTAAACCCTAAACCCTAAACCCTAAACCCTAAACCCTAAACCAACCCAATAGTATCCTTGAAGAAGCCCTTGGGGAGTCGAGCCCTGCGGGTGTACTTAGGGGTTCTCGGTGGTTGCGCATTTTGGGGTTTGAGGGTTTAGGATTATAGGGCTTAGGGTTTAGGATTTAGGGTTTAGGGGTTTAGGTAGGGTTTAGGGTTTAGGGTTTTTTTGGGGTTTAGGGTTTAGGGCTTTCAGTTTAGGGTTTAGGGTGCCTCGGTCGTAGCCCAGAAGCCAGGCTCGCGATAGGCCAGTTGCCTCCTCTAGGCTGTGCTCTTGCTTGTTGTGTTTACTTTATTTCAAGACCCTAAACCCTAAGTCCTAAACCCTAAACCCAAACCCCTAAACCCCTAAACCCCTAAACCCTAAATCCTAAACCCTGAACCCTAAATCCTAAACCCTAAAGTCTAATTCTAAGGGCTTCGGGCTTTGGAAGCTTGGAGTTCAAGGGTTCCGGGTTCGGGGGTGGAGGGCTTTCTCCTGCTTCTCCCCAGGCAACGTGGTACACAATATGGGCAATATGGGGTTTTAGGGTTTAGGGTGTAGGTTTTATGGGGGGTTATAGCAGTAGGAATAAACATAGCTGGACAGGGTCACCACAAGCCAGAATAACAATTAATCAGCTGAAACCCTAGACCCTAAAATTCTTCGCTCAACCCCTAAACCCCTAAACCCCTAAATCCTAACCCCTAAACCCCTAAACCCTAAACCCCTACCTAAACCCTAAACCCTAAAATTCTTTGCAGGCCCCAGAGCCCCGAAGAGGAGTCACAGGTCAGCGATCCTTCACCCAAAGGCTCCATGTACCTTTATAGTAGATACTTAGGCCTTAAAGGGGTCCCTATGTAGGTACTTTAAGGCCTAAGTAGCTACTGTAAAAGTACATGGAGCCTTAGGGTCACCGACTACACCCACCTTGGCACGCTTCTTTGAGCTTCCTCTACATAGCAGGCAACAGCCCCCAAATTCCAAACCCCCCAAAACCCACCCGCCCCCCCCCTCCAAAGTACCTTAAACTCACCAGATCCTACAGAGCAACATCCGGCTGCAGCACTCGGGGAGACCCTCAAACCTTCACAATCGGCTTGGGATTTGAGGGTTTAGGGTTTACAGTAGGGTCCAGGGTTAGGGTTTAGGGTTTAGGGCAATGGGCTTGGGGTTTAAGGGTTTAGGGTCTTGGGTTTTGGGTTCAAGGGTTTAGGGAAAACAACCCTTTTGCAACCGACATAGAACCCGTAGCCTTAGACTTGTATAACACCCGCCACGATCCCTTGGAAGCCATATAGACAACCTTGCAGGCTTGTTAAGAGACCTCATAATTAAAGACAGTTATAGAGAAGGAGCCGTCCGGAAAATAACTACTGACAAGTATGAAGGCATCTATATTATAGCCACCATACACCCGAAGCCACCCTTAAAGCAAACTCAGCGCAACCCCTTAGACTTTAGAGCAACACTTTCAAGGATCCTATATATTCGCATCCTGAACCCTTAAAGGACCCTATCCTGAACCCTAAACCCTTAAAGGACCTACCCTAAATTCTTGAAGGACTCTAAACCCTGAACCCTAAACTTTAAAGCACCCTATCCTGAGCCCTAAAACCTTAACGGACCCTATATCCTAAACCCTACCCTAAACCCTGAATCCAACAAGGACCCTACCCTAAGCCCTACACCCCTTACAGGACCCTACTTTAAACCGTAAAACCAAAAAGGTAAACCCCAAACCCTCAAAGGATGCCCCATCAGCGACTGAAGAGGCGCCTGTGGTCGCGGCCTCTTCGCGTTGAGAAGATCCTGCGGCTGCAACTGCGCCACACCCAGCGCGAGGCCCTGACGTTTAGGTTTAGGGTTTAGGGTTTATGCTTTAGGGTTCGGGGTTTAGGGTTTTGGGGTGTAGGGTTTAGAGTAAGGCTCTCAAACCAGCAAACCTCTAGAAACCTGAAACAGGGACCTGTCGAATTTCAATAGGGCTTTTTGGGGTACTATTATCTCTATATACGGGGCTATAAGGGCGAGCTCGCACTGTGTACTCAGACTTTCTATCAAGCTCTTACCCTAAGGCTCCATGTACCCATATAGTAGATGCTTGGGCCTTAAAGTACCTATATAGGGACCCGTTTAAGGCCTAAGTATCTACTATGAACCCTAAACCCTAAACCCTAAACCGTGAATTATGTCGCCCAAAATCATGCTAGGCATAGCCTTTGGGGCCTGATTCCATAATCGTGGTATATATGGGTAAGTGTCAAGATCATGGTGTCTTTGCAGGAATCCTATGAATATATAATTCTGACCTCAGTACGGCACCCTATAGTTCGGGAACCCCAATGGGGGTTTCCGAAAATGGGGGAACCCTAGCATAGCACCCTAAATAGTAGGATCCTTAGTATAAGGACCCCCAAATAAGGTACCCTGATTTTCGAAAACTCCCAAATGGAACCCTAGTTTCGACACCCCAAACCCTAAACCCTAAACCCTGAACCCTGAGCCCTATAGTTTTGACAACCACCCATATGGACTTTCTCGGAACCTCAGGCATCTGGTCCGCCAAGTCGCTCTCATATTCTTCGGACCCATCTCATCGACACGGATCCTGAACGATATGAGGGGTTGCAAGAGGCAGTATGTATGCATGTACATTATATACATCTCTATGTATATATATATATATATACCTATGTACACACAAACATATATATATATATATAGAGTTGCCATACAGGGACGATAAAGGGGGTATCTTTACCGTTTATTCAGACCTCTATATGAGCATGTGCAGCTGGGGCTACAGTTTCACTGAGCTGCCCTAAACCCTAAACCCCTTTACCCTAAACCCCTAAACCCCTAAACCCTAAACCCCTAAACCCCTAAACCCTAAACCCCCAAACCCCTAAACCCTAAACCCTGAACCCTAAACCCTACACCGCAAGAAAACTGGGGGGGGGGGGGATCAGGTCGGAATGATCCGGGGTCTGAGTAAGTTCGAGGTTCAGGGCCTGAGGGTCTAGGAGTTTAGGCTGAGGCCTCCGTCGATGAATAAAAGGGGTTTAGGGTTTATAGGGTTTTTAGGGTTTTTAGGGCTTTAGGGTTTAGGGTTTTCTTGGGTTTGGGGTTTTGGGTAATAGAACGTTCATCAGGAGTTGAGGTGTGCGGGTTTAGAGAATAGGGGACTTGGTAGGTAAATCATGAGTCAAGTACAGCTGTAGGCTGCGTACTAGGGGCCCCGTGGGTCGATTAAGCAGGGATCTACATCTACACCCAGACTATACCTTCGGTCTAGATCTATGTCGGTGTAAAAAGGTTTATACCAAACGGTTTAAGCTTGGACAAACAAGCTTCCGCGAGCTACTCTCTTCAGGAGACAACGTGCCGATCGCCATCGTACATATGCGATGGGTAATGCTCTTAGCAGTTGTGATTCGATGCGTCGATAACACTTTTGGACTACCTGTCTATGCCCTAACCCCCAAGCTGACGTCGGAGCCCTGAGATTCTAGGCGAGCGAAGCTCTTCAGTCTAACCGTAAGCCGTAAACCCTAAAGCCTAAACGTAGGTAGAATTTAAAAGCCTCTCCATGACGATGATGACGGGCGCCTATGATCCCATGGGGACGAGCTGGGCCGGCCCCCATGACGTAATGCAGGGGCCTTAGTAATTAG